TAAGACTCTTGTAACATTCAGCCATCAAGGTTCTTTTCTTACAAAATTTCTGGTTCCAATACGGTTTACCCCCAAGCAAACAGTGAAGAATTCCAAGGTTTACAACCTACTCAGATTCGGTTTTAAGTTTCTGACTACACCTAAGTTTATAAATTTTATACAGCACAATACCCAATCGGTTCCTATCATGGTTTCTTTCCAAATAGCATTCTTCCCTCAAATTAATTTTCACCAATGATTAACCGCGAATAAATCCCAATGGCTTACTCAAAACAGAATCGGTTTTAATATATATCGGCTCATGACATTTATTCAAAATTTTAGTTCAACAAGACCAATGGTATGTGAAGGAAAGCCTAAGCTCATACTATACATTTAATTTAAATAAGACTTAGTTCATAACAAGATTTACCAAGACAGAATCGAGTTTATCTAAACAAACATCAAGGATAATTTATTCCAAACCCAACTACTTCATTCAAGGTGCGCTACAAGGGGACTAAGCATGTTGTCCATATCATATTGTTTCATAAAAATTTAGAGATATACTAAGTAACAACCAAAACAGCCCCACTACCGATTATAAGTTCATTTTCAAGTTATATGTTATGCTTTCAAGCTATCACCCAGGGGATGTAACATGGCAGAATCTAAAAGAGCTAGAATAAATAAAAGCTACTTCCTAGGCATGCTTCACGGTTTGAACAGAGGAAAGAATGAGAGATTTTGTGCCTACCTCTTGCAAGCACACAAGGAATCCGAACAAAACAGAGAGCAGCACCTTCGCTTCCTAAGCTCTACGAACGTAGCAACTCAGCCCTTCAAACAGTGGTTGTGCGCACCAAGGGGAAAGAAGATTTTTCTAGACTTCAAACCTACATACAAGGCGACATTTCCATCAACCCACGTGGAAGAGGAAAACAATGGAAGTGAGGAATTTATATACCTCTTTGTATGCAGAATCACGGCTGAAACCAATGGAGATGAAACCAAGTTTCCTTTATGTTGTTCTCCTAAGAACGTTTATGATCAAGGTTGAATGAGAAGGTGTTTAGAATCTTTTTGTTGTCTCTCAATAATGCTCACGGTTTAGTGGAGAAAAGAGGGAAGACATGAGGCTGAGCTTTATTTCAAAAAGAAGAACCAGAGTTCATGGTTGTTGTTCTTCTTTAAGGTTGCGCACAAAGTGAGAAGATGAGTAGGAATAGGTGGCTGTAAAGGGTTTTGTTTTATCAATGTGATTTCCCTAACTTGGTCCACTACAATCAGCGATTGATGAAGGGAGAATGAGGCTGGACTGTGAGTTTAAAAGGCCATCAAGAACAGAAGAGAATTGAGTTCTCTCTCTCCCTCCATGGAGCGTCCAAGAAGAGGTAATTGGGTGCAGAATTTTCTGCCCACACAAGTGACATGCAGGCTGACTACATAAGCCCACACAAGTAATCAGAATTTGCTCTTCCCTTTTTACCTGACCTAGGCGCTCATGTGATGGAAAAAACAAGGATAGATTTTTTCTGCCATGTGGTGATTGTTACCCAATTAAAGGCTGCCTTGTTGGATTACTTAGGAGGAGATAATATTAGGGCAATATGCATAGAGCTTGGGCTGAATCAATGGACACTTCCTAAGGCCCTAAAGGTTCGGCCAAACAAGACTTTGGGGACCAAAATGTATAAGCCCATAAATGATACTAACTAAGATGCTAACCCATAAAGTTATAAGTTCCCAATTCTCTTTAGTATTTTTAATTTTTCTATAAGTTGCTATTAATTAATTCCTACATCTTTTCTAAGGCTTCACATGCTTAAAATAAATTCTCACCTATCATCATAATTCTAATAATTTCCTAACTCAATATTAATTCCATACTAGTAACCATATAATTCGAAAACCAAACAAACATTACATGTAGTTTGACTTTTCACACACACATTCTTATGCCTTATAATATTTTATGTATTTTCCTGATTACATGGGATGTTACACACAAATTTTGATGAAAATAATTTTCGTCAAAAAATTTTGCGAAATTTTTTTATGGAAATATTTTTTGTAAAAAAATTTGACGTAGTTGTTTTACGTTAAAACTTTTCTTTTAATGTAATTGTGATTTTTTTTTCACATAATAGGTATGGGTCAAGTTTTGGATCAATGGGTCAATATTAAAATAAGTCAGGTCTAAAACTGACCCAAATAAAAGTGAGTCAGTATTTAAACCAGTTCAAAAAATATAAGTATTTATGAGTGAGATCAAAATTGGGTCAAGGAGGACACGGCAAGTGAATCAGTTTTATTGTACACCATACATATAGAACCGCCAAATAAACCAAACAAAATACAAGCTAAGCTGGTATACCAGCCCTTCAAAGCCCAGTCTGACCATCAGCACCGGCTGTAGAAGAGATGTCAACCTGACCGTTAGCACCAAGTTTCTCTCCCTCTTCAACCCCATTTCCCTGCGTAACTCAAACCTGGCTGACCTCGGTATTACCGTCACTAAGCTTTTCAAAATTAGCCCAATATTCTTTCCGAAATTAGTTAGTAGAACCATTATCAATTTTCCAATTGAGTTTATTTAAAAACTCATCCCAAATGTGACCCTAAGCTTTTCCATAAAAGCGAATCCTGATTTTTAACTGTGATTCCCCTTCTCAAGTCTATATTGCAACTGTACTTGGCCACCATCACTTTTAACCAAAAGGCATCTGAATTAGTGACGATTTACCAAGCTAGCTTAAAGGAGAAAAGCTGAATTTGGAAGTCTGATATTGCGAAAACCTAAGCCTCCCATAGATTTGGATTGACAAAATTGTTCCCTAGAAACAAGATGTAACTTACGATCATTCTCATTTTCCCCAATATAAATCTCCTTTCAAGCTTTTCAATTTCATTGCAAACTACCACTAGTAGAATTCCATGCTACATATGAAAAGAGGGGATAGCAGAAATAACTGAGCCTGCAAGGGTGACTACCCATTAAAACATGAGCATCAGTGTTTCAATTGAGTCTACTGTGTACTCGGTCAACAACTTGTACATATTGCGCTATAGTAGTGTGACCATGCCTCGTCTTAGATCCCAAATACTTACCAAGAGTCCTTTCTTGTTTGAACCCACTCTGTTGTAAGATTGTAGACACTTTTGCTGCAGTTGGATTCCTAGAAAAATAAATCAGTGGCTTGGAAGTACTAATTTTCTGTCCAGACATGTTACAAAAATTATCTAAACATTGCATGACGCTACTAATATGATCCTCTACGGCCTCATAAAATAGAATCAATTCATCAGCAAACATCAAGTGAGATATTGCAGGGCCTGTCCTTCTTGCATGTATCGGCCTTCACATATATCTATTAACTGTATCAATTATTAAAGGAGAACAAGGGGTCTCCTTGTCTTATGCCTCTAGATGCTAGGAAATAAGTTATTTTATTTCCGTTCCAAAGAACACTGAACTCAATGGATAAAATACATTCCATTATCACATTAATCGTATGAGTGGGAATTAATCTCTCTTCAAGCACTGATCGAATGAATTGCCAATTTAGCCTGCTGTAGGCATTTTCTAAATCTATCTTTATTGCCATGAAGCATTTTCCTCCTCTCGTCCTATGCATGGAGTGAATGATTTCTTGAGCAACTAAATGTTGTCCTGAATCTACCTTACGGGAAAAAAAACTAACCTGGTATGGGTAAATCATTTTGTTCATGACGGGTTTTAATTTATTGAACAGAATTTTGCTCTGGCCTATATAAATTGTATTACACAAGGAGATTGGCCTGAATTGGCAAATATATTTTGGCTTCTGAACAATGGGGATAAAAACTAGCATTGTTATATTTAGTTTCTTAATCAGGTACGGGAACTGAAAATCATGCGTTATATCCTTGGATACATAACTCCCAATAATGCCCCAATTCTTCTGAAAGAAACAGGGTACCCAAGCATTCTTGGAGCTTTGTTACCATTCATAACAAATAAAGCTCTTTTAATTTCTAACTTTTTTATTGGTTTCTGCAATTGTTGTATCTCTTCCTCCGAGAGAGGAGGCCAACTGGTGGAGGTATTATGCGAAATATAATTTCTTTTCTCCTCCTGAAACAAGGCCTCATTGAATTGTCTCACAATAATCTACAGGGTTTTATAATCCCTTACCCAATGCCCCAAAGAGTATTTGAGCTCCAAAATATGATTTTTCCTACAGCGAAAATTTGTTTTTGAGTGGTAGTACTTGGTGTTGTGATCTCCATCATCTAGGTAGGCATACTTTAGGCATTTGAAATTAACACTGAACATGTATAACAGTAAAACTGTTGAATTTACCTACTTAAGAATTTCTCAATGCTAGTATTAGTCCAATAAAGCTTAAAATGAATGCTAGCTAACTAACAATTTTTCCATTAAGTCAAGAAAGAACATTTCCTAAATGGTTTTCTTTATACTTACTTTCTCTTAGAAATAGAGTTACTCTATACACACTTGACCTTCCCAAACCAGAGTACTATTCCCGTTGCAATTCAAGTAATTAGTAGGACTATAAGAAACTTTTATTAGGTAGTATTTGGTTGAAGGTTTATTTTAGGATTGATGGGAAAGTGTAGGTGGATATTGGAAAATACCACGTTTGGTTCAGGTTTTTTCAAGAAATACCAGACAAATAGGATAGATGGGAAAATGACTTTTGTGTTGATTTTTGGATGAAATTCACTGTTACAGAATACCACTTGTGAGATGTGGTATTGTGAGATGACCGGGGAAGTGAAAAAACAGGTGCAAAGTTTCTCCCGAACATAGATTTTGCATATTTAAATAAATTTCCCTGGTAATATTTGGGTCAACCAAACAACTTTTTTTACATTTTCCTATCAAACTCACTTTCCAACCATTTTCCTATCAATTACATCTCGCTAGTAAAAAAAAAATTCTCCCGAACCAAACACTACCAAGTATCTATAGTTCATAGGAATTATTGATACAGGCTCTAAAGTACTAAGAGTTATCATTTTCTATATATTTTGATGTCTCTCCATCTTGATTCCATGTAGTAGCTTATATTGGAACCTGCAGCATAAACCCCACACTTGAAGTACAAGTCTCCTGGCCCTCGATCCTTTGTCTGAAACTTTTGCTCTCCATCAATGAACACAGTCACCATTCCTCCATCCACATCATGGATGATATTAAGTCTGAACCACTTATCATAAAGGTTCTGAGCCACCAAATCTCCACTGTAATACCTCATATCTCCGTTGTATATTCTTAGTATCAGTGTGGTAGCACCATGTGCCGCACCATGGATCTGAGCTACTGTAGCACCAGATGTTCCATTTGGCACAAAACCATGACCTTCAAATTGCCAAACCCCAGAATCGTAGTCCAGTCCCTGCATAAAAGGTTATAATTGCTTCTGATTAAAGCACAAGCATTATAATATGCAATAACTACGTGAGTTACTTAGGTATCCAAAGCAGAAGAGTGACAAGTACAAAGATTGTCTAGGTACTTAAATTATTTAATGGTACCCTGTATCTTGATTAGTTGTCAAATGTTCACTGGTTGCTTGCACTTAGAAAACTTCAAGCAATTTTCTTAAATGATTAATAATAATTAATGATTAACAAAAACTACGTCTTTTTTTGGATAAAAAATAAGGTGTAAAAAATTATAATTTATTATAAAGTTATAATATTCTTTTTATATTATTATAATTTTTTAATTTTTCAACTCAAAATAATATCGTTTTAGAAGTAAATATATATAACTCTATACACTATAAAAATATTAAAAATATATATATATATATATATATATATATATATATATATATATATATATATATATATATATGAGGCAGGATCCTTTGACATTGGTGTCAAATTTGAAATTTGACACCGAATCTGAGAGTCGTTAGATAAAAAAAGATTAATGGTGTCACATGCTTACAAATCAGAGCCGTTGATCTTTTTTTATCTAATGACTCTCAGATGAGATGTCAAATTTCAAAGTTGACACTAGTGTTAAAGGACCATATCTCTCTGTATATATAGAGAAAGAGAGGATGGGGGGAGGGGTTTGCAGTTCTAAACTTGACCATTGGTAATTGTTGAATTATATTTCCTATTAAATTCAATCTTACAATAAAAAAAAAATTACGATTAAGATTTTTGCAATTTTTAACAAAATGCAAACAATCTGTTTCTCTAAAATACCATGGCAACACCCAGCAAGACAAACGCAATAACTTTTTACATTTTAAAATAAAATTTATACAATAACAGAAAACACCAAACAATTAAATAGATGTTTTCGCACTATAAAATAATGAAAAAATGTTTCTGCAGATAAATTATCTGCATTTATTCTCAAAACGATGTCGTTTTGGTATTGAAATCATAAAATTTTTTAAATATAAAGACCATTATAAACCTGAAATAAATTACCATGGCAACACCCAGCAAGACAAACACAATAACTTTTTACATTTTAAAATAAAATTTATACAATAACAGAAAACACCAAACAGTTAAATAGATATTTTCGCACTATAAAATAAGGGGAAAAAATTTCTGCAGTTACTGCAGATAAATTATCTGCATTTATTCCCAAAACGACGTCGTTTTGGTATTAAAATCTTAAAAAATTATAAATATAAAGATCATTATAACCCTGAAATAAATTAAAATTACATAAACACCATGATTTTCGCCCAAAAATGACGTCATATTGAGCTTACTGTAGATAACTTATCTGCAGTAACTGCAGAAAAAGCGAACCCATAAAATAAATCATAAGGAAAAAATTATTTTGGAAGAGTAGAAACTTATATGGGTTTGATTACACTCGAATCGAATTAATTGAGTTGCCAATAATTCCGTTGAGAAACATATAAAAACAATAATTAGTCTCCACCAAAATAATAATAATAATAATAATTATTATTATTATTATTAGTGAATCAAAAGAGGAAAGGAATCTTCTCATGTATTTTTCGACGTAATCACACAATATAAAAAATCTCATTTATATTGAGTTTTGTCAATATAAAATAAAATAAAATGGGGATTGCCTTTTATTTGTTTTATTGAGTTTTGTCAATGAATTATAACGGTTAATCTCTCGACAAATAACTGAGATTTTTCAAATCATTCTAGTGGAGAGAAAGAGAAGGATATATTCGAGGTAAAGAATACCGTAATGCGAATTTCTGTGCGAGGCTGAGTGTGGCTGCTAGGATCATGAGGCTTATCATCAGCATAGACCCATAATCGATGAACGCCATTAATATAGCTGTACCTTTGGTTTAGTGGTATGTCATATGGCTTCTGCAGCTCAAAATTTGCTCGTGTCAATGGGACAGGGCTGAATCCATATGTAGGATCTTGGCCACATACAAGCCTAAAGTTTTTCAGAGAAAATACAAGGAATAAAGATAGGATCAAATACATGTAAAAGCTCTTCATTTTTCTTTGCTCTACTAATTGATTCGGTCTATAGAACGGTGGGTGCTTATAGAAGTTGTGACAGATATATATAGTCAAACAAAAAGAATCTTATTTTTTATTTTTAAAATTGTTTTTAAAGAGTTCCAAAATCTATTGGTAGAGCCAACTAACACCTTTAAATGAATAAATTGTTTAGAAAAAAAAATGTGCAATGAAATAACTTCATACATGTCTTGCATAATCCATAAATTAAATTGTTAAGGTGTGTAATCGACCCTTCATATTTTAGTGTCTCCTTTGGAGTTACATGAATGTAGTTTGTGCCCGGCGAATATGGGATAAATGCCTCATCAATACTATCGTCACCTAGACGGCCATCTACGGCTGAGAGTAATGTCCAAAAGTTTGAAGGTAATCACATGATGTTCCTATGGTGAAAATGTATACCTTGGAATATTCACTTTAATTTTGGACGCAACAGAATATTGCATACCTTTATATATCAATGCAGAATCCTTTATGCCATTCACGATAATGAGTACCGCAAGAATTATTTCTTTAAATTTTGTTTTGATGCTTAGGAACTGCAATTATTCAAGACAATGAAATATTTGCCGCCCAAATCCAATCACTCCCCACTGATAATTTTAAATTTTAATTTGAGTAAATACCCTTTTGGGTCAACAAAAAACACACTCTCCACTTTATTACAAAAAAAAATTATCCTTTTGGTTCCTATAAAATTCAAAGTGGACCCATTTAGTTGAAATTGCGGTCCCTCACAAATTCAAAAAAAAAAAAAAACCCATATTAGTCCCTCAAAAGGACTAAAATGGGTCCACTCCGAATTTCATAGGGATCAGACGTCTAATTTCTTTTTGTGAGGGACTAAAGTGGGGACCGTATTTTTTGTAAGGGATCCAAAATGATATTTACTCTTTTAATTTTCTAGTACCCTCAATTTTTTAATTTAAGGCAAGTAATAATTAATTATATTTTTATTGATATCTATATTTATTGAGGCTATATGAAAGAAAACTTAAATGAGGCTTAGATTTAGACACAAAATAATAAATAAATAAAATAAAATTAATAAAAGAAATAATTAGATTAATATTTTAATATTTTTTCATGATTTCCTTATATTTAATATCATGAATTAAGGAAATAATATTTTTAGGAAATATTGCTGCATATATTTCTTTATATTTATATGGGTGAGCTAGCCCCACCATAATGTGGATGTTCCCAACTTAAACAGAATTGTCATCTAGAAAAGATACCTATGATTTATCTATAAAAAAAAACTAAGAGAAATAAAATAGAATTAATGAGATGAGAAATGAGCAACAACATGAATGAAATGACAAAGGGACAACAAAATGGATGAGTTTTGAGAAGCGCAATGGACCAAAAGTAATAAAAGAAAAAATTATTAGAAATAATAAGACAAATCTTAAGGAATAAAATCAAGTGTATTAATGTTGTGTTGAAACGAATTGACCAAAAATAATGCAAAAAAAAAAAAGCCCAACCCTCAAAGTGTTAAATATGTCCACATCCAACAAATTAAGATCCAAATCTCCATACATAAAGCTAAGTCCAAAATCATATTAGATTATACTTGTAGAGCTTACCATGAGCTCAAAATATTTCTAAATTGCATAGTGAAAAAGTGCATCTATTTTTCAATTTGATACCTCAAAAATAGATTGAAAATGTTTCAATTTGTTTTGAACATATAGACATGCATACATAGTCTAATTAAATGTGTTCACATAGTATGGAGAACTTGGAGCTTGGAACGATCCTAGAGCTCTACATGAAGATGGGAGGAGCTTTGAAGCCCAAACTCAGGGAGAAGTTGGTCTCCTTTCTAAAGGAGAAAAAGGACCTTTTTGCCTTGAAGCAAACAAATATGTTAAGTATAGACCGGTACTGTTGTTGTCACTGTCTTTTTATTTATTCAAGTGCTCGACCATTTTCTCTAAACAAAATAAAGATTAGCCTAGAGCGCACGCAAGCTCCTCGAGGTTGGCTTCGTACAGGATATTCAGTACACCACTTGACTCTCTAATGTCATGTTGGTAAAGAAGGAAAATGGGAAGTGGCATGTATTCGTGGATTACACTAATCTCAACAAGGGGAATCTAACATCCCGTCTATACTCGGTTTGTTAACATATCAACGTATTAATTCACGCCTAATTAAAAATGCGAAATATCTTTTTCTTTTCAATTATGACGTCATTATCAAATTACTAAGTTGATTACTTAATTCTTTTTCAAAACATTGCCTGTATGTAAATTGCAATAAAATAACTAACTGAAATACCTCATTAAATAAATAACTGAAACTGGGTCTCTAGTCACGGAACTACAACACGTAGACCGGACAGATCCTGATAGTTTATACAACTCAAATAAACTTAAACATCGTCAAATCAATGTGGCATGGACAATCCCCATGCTCACCAAATAAACAACATACTCGTCAAGTCTCAATACAAACAACATGATAATGGATAAGACATAAACACTAAACAAGGACATCAGCATAATCAGCAAACATATCAATCAACTAAGCTCCGGCCTCCTGCCGCTAGAGGTCTCAACCCCTGGGTTACCTGAACCTGAAATAAGTGCCCCAAACGTGGGGTGAGATCTCTAAACAAAAATCTCAGTAAGGCAAGGGGTCCTCAAGGATTTCTCCACCCCAAGCTCACTTACATGTGCAATATAAGTTCTAAAAGCAGTTTAACAATATAAGTTCCAAATCAGTGCAATGCAGCAGATAATTATGTCATGTGAGTTAACTATTCTACTGGCCAGAGAATTGCAGGATTTACACACGTCTATTACCCACATAGTACACGCCCATGTCGTACCTGCCCACAAGATCATCTTCCTGTCTAGGCGACATCACATACATATCATAGGCATTTGCACTTAACAGCTCAAAAGCATTTCAATAAAGCAATACATGAAAACACATCATGCATATAAATCATTCTCCCATGGGGTATGGTGGAACCAACAATGGCTGAATCGATGACACGAAAGCTTACCTCTTAAGCAATCCATCCAAGCCAAGTCCACACAAGCTCAAAGACCACACACATTGTAGTTAACCCGGTTTGTTAACATGTCATCGTATTAAGCCACGCTTAATTAAAAATGCGAAATATTCTTTTTCTTTTCAATTATGACGTCAATATCCTTACCAAGTTGAATTACTTAATTCATTTCCAAAACATTGTCTGTATGTAAATGCAAAAGACAAACATCTATACTGAATAACCTCATAACATAATTAAGATCATTAACTGAGTCTCTAGTCACGGCACTACAACACGTAAGCCGGACAACCCTAATAGTTTATACAACCCAAATCTAATCAACAACATAATCCAATGTGGCATGGACAATCCTCATGCTCACCAAATAAGGCAACAAGGCCAAACAGCAGTCTCAACAATAACAGCATAATCATAAAGATAACGTAACAACATCCAGCATATAATCATAACAGCAGACATCTAACTCAGCTCTGGCCTCCTGCCACTAGAGGTCTCAACCCCCGCATTACCTGAACCTGAAATATGTGTCCCAAACGTGGGGTGAGATCTCTTAAAAGAAATCTCAGTAAGACAAGGGGTCCTCAAGGATCTTCCACCCCAAGCTCACTTACATGTGCAATATAAGTTCTAAAGCAGTTTACACAATATATATAAGTTCCAAAGTCAGTGTAATGCACAGATAACCATGTCATGCGTGTCCATATAATCTACTGGCCAGAGAAATGCAGGATATACGTCTATCTCCTACAAATAGTGCAAGACGCTACTTACATCCACCCAAGTCTTACCATCTTGTATGACGCTACATACTCAGGCTTACTGTCAAAGTGGAACAACACATGCATATTATAAGGCCCTTACACATAACAGTTCAAAAGCATTCCAATCATCAAAGAATGAAAAAACATCATGCATATAAACCATTCCCCCATGGGGTATGGTGGAACCAGCAATGGCTAAACCGAGGACACGAAAGCTTACCTTGCAAGCTAACTATCCAAACCAAGAGTCCAACCAAGCTCAAATCCCAAACACAGCAGAATCACAATCTGTTTTGGACCAGCAATCATATGAATAATCATACTCAACAAGTATTAGACACAAGGACAACGTCTTTCCTTTAAGTTTCATGTCTTAAGGCTTCTCACAAAGCCACAAGCCCTTAATCACATGATTCTGACTTAGTTTAATTATTACAGAGGTTCAACTTAACCATTCTAGGGTCCACAAACCCCAAACATCATTCTGTATGAACAGTGCAGCTTCTGTTCTTCGAAAACCCAGAATATCCGGATATTTTTCGGGGGCACCAGTTCTCATTATTTTAATTTGAAATTTGTTTTACAAGTCCTATATAATATTCTAGGAATATTCATGCACTTATTATAATTTTCTGGGATACTTCATCGGTACGCATTTATACCGAGTAGCAGAACCGGTATCTGCACTTTTCGTCATAAAAGCGACTTTCAGCATTATTACTCACTTACTATAATTATTAAAGCCTCATAATAATTATTAGGGTCAATTATGGAATTATTTCCTAATTTCTCTTAATTAATTAATTAACTTCCTTAAGTAACGGTGCAAGTTCTTACACACAGCACAATCACAATCTGTTTGGACCAATACTCATATCAATATTCATACTCTACAAGCATATGGCATAAAGACAATGCCTTCCTTTTACGTTTCATGTCTTTAGGCTTCTCACAAAGACATAAGCCCTTAATCACTTTGATTCTGACTTAGATTATTTATTATAGAAGTCCACATTAGCCGAACATGGGTCCACAAACCCAAAATATCATTCTGTATGAACAGTACAGCTACTGTCTCGAATTTTTCAGAATATCTGGATATTTGTCGGGGCAATATCCGGATATCATATCCGGATATCCATATTCGGATATCTCAAGACCCCATATCTGGATAACAATATCCGAATATTTCGCGATAGAATACAGTTTTGCACTTCGCGAGATATCCTTCCTAAAGGTTGTTCTTTTAACGATTCCAGAAGCTTAAACATGCATTTCTAGGTGTGTTTAATCTTACCCAACCTTAAGTTATCAACTTTAGTGTATTACATGCATTAAGGTTTCATTTTTAACTAAGGAAACTCAAGAACAAAAGTGATGATCATACCACAAGCTCAAAACAGAGGTGAACGATGATCTTGGAGTTCTCAATGCATCCCTCAAGGTTCAGACTTCAATGTGCACGAAAATGGCACACCAAGGATGGTCCTTTCTCTTTAAAGATCACTCTTTGAAGCTCAAAATACCAAGATAATGGCTCCCACAAAGAGAACTCACAACTCAGCCCCCAAGAACTCTCAAAACAGAACCTACACTCTGAAAACAAAAGCCTTTCCCACACCCAAGTCTCAATCACACTCAACCATGGTGATTTGATGAAGAAACAATGGAGAAAGGTGGTCACTTTGAGGTTTTTCTTAGGAGGAATGAAGGTGGAAAGGGGATGATGGGAGCTCCAACAAATGAGTCACGTAGGATTAGAGTATGACCTAGGGTTTTGGGCCAAACATGCATATTTATAGCGTTTTAAGTCTTAAGCACACAATATAAGCACTAATAGCTACGCTTAACATTTTAGTCCCAAACTTAGGATTCTGAACCTACTCATTATTCTAAGATTTTTCATATTTTTTATTTTATTTTTCGCAGTACTTCTTCGGTACGCGCTTTTACATAGCCAGTATCAGTTCTGGCACCAGTTCTCATTATTTTGACTTGAAACTTGTTATGCCAGTCCTATATATTATTCTAGGACTATTCCCATACTTATTATAATTTTCTGGGATACTTCATCGGTACGCGTTTATACCGTGGAGCAGAACCGGTATCTGCACTTTTCGTGAGAAAAGCGACTTTCAACATTACTAAACACTTACCATAATTATTTAAGCCTTATCATAATTATTAGGGTCAATTATGAAATTATCTCATTAATCACATAATTACTTAATTAATTTCCTAAATTAACGGTGCAAGTTCTTACAGGGAACATCGACAATGCTTCACCTTTTTAAAAAAAAAAAATTGCTGAAAAGCCACGTGGACCAGAAAATTTGCTAAATTGCCACACCTCCAAACTCACTACAATTGTCTGTGAGTTTGGTTTGATCACATGACATGTTTACTGAGAAGATCAAACTCACTGCCAATTGCAGCGACTGTAGCGGTCAAAAAAGTCAGACTGCAACACTGAAAAAGACATATGTCATGTCCTTATAAAGTCGATAATGGGTGCAGTGACTACTGTTTAGAGAGAGAAAAAATTTGGGAGGACACTTACACTACAAGAAAATGTGTATTTTGCGACGGTTCAATTGCCATTTGGAGGCGGTTAGAACCGTCGCTAAAAAAGCAGTGCGGCGGTTAACCAACCGTCGCCAAATCAATCGTCGGGATGGAATCAACGTCGGTCGAAATTAACCGCTGGAACGACCGCCGAGATCAATATAACGACGGTTACGAAGGCGGAGCGACCGCCATGTCATGATCATCAAATTTACTATATATCACTTTTGGAGGCGGTTCTGAACCGCCTCCAATTAAGTGACATGGATTTTGGAGTCGGTTGAAAACCGCCTCTGTATTTCCTTTTGGAAGCGGTTCTGAACCGCCTCCAATTAAGTGGCATGGGTTTTGGAGTCGGTTGGAAACTGCCTCTGTATTTCCTTTTGGAGGCAGTTCGTCACAGACTCTAAATAAGTGACATGGGTTGTGGAGTCAGTTGGAAACTGCCTTTGTATTTCCTTTTGGAGGCAGTTCGTCATAGACTCTAAATAATAATTTAAAAATTTATTTGGATTTTTTTGATAATTTTATTAAAAAAATAATATTATAATTCTTTATGTTTTTATTCGATAATTTTAAAAAAAATTAATATTTTTTTTGAATATGAAATATTTCAAAAATTCATTTTTTTAAATTTGAATAATAGTGATTTGTTATTATTTTATTATTGAAATAATTTTTATTTAATAAATTTAATTAAATATACAATATTATTGCCATACATAATTTATTGATGTATATCATAAGTTTTATTACTAGCAATGAAACCACGTTGACATGTCATCCAAATATAATTAAAATTATTAACAAAAAGGATCATTCATAAAAATGTCATTTATCATAATGTTTTAATTATTGGTAAACCATTTAGCATAACGTTCAAAAACATCAAACTAGCTTGATGTTTTGTACTATCATCTAAACAAAAAGTATAAATTACAAAAGAGTTAATAAAATATCATCGCAAAGTATTGTAATCTAAACTAAAAGTAAATATCACAAAAAAGTCCAACAAAATGTATTCCCATAGTGCTATAATCTAAACACAAAATAAAGATCCCAAAATCTCAAAGTATTATAATCTAAATAGAAATTAAAGATCACAAAAAAAATCCAATAAAATATCATTCCAAAGTTTTCAAAATATCTAGAATTTATATGTCATCCATGAAAAAGTCATCAAGAGGAGTTGCTAATCCTTCATTTTGGCCTTGTTGTGTGGATGATATGTTAAAATTTGGTGAAGACCTTCTAATACCAATGGAGAATTCCAAATATGAAGCCTACAGATTACAAATAAAGACAATATTTTAATGACAATATTTAAATTGGAACAAATTACATTTACTGCAAAGGCATTTCAATCAACATAAATGTACATATTGTAAGCTGCATTCATTAAATATACTTCTATAAAATGAGTAATAGTAAAGCAAATTAACCATCAGGTAATAATTTAATTATAATATGCAGTACTTGTCAATCTTTATGAATTTATAATTATGGATTTTTTTTTGTCTGCCTACAGATACATTTATGACAAAAAAGTATAAGCAATGTATTATATGATAGAAAGATATATCACAATGGAAAAGGATCCTATTAAATGGGATTGAGAGCCCTGACTAGATTCAGTATCTAAAGCACAAGGTTGAGAAATTAGGACTCTAGTTTGTGCTAATTTAGGACTCTAGTTTGTGCTTAATTTAAGACCTTAGGACATGTTTTCCCAAATGAAGTCATACAACAATTTCCAGCCAATTCCTCCATCATTAAACTATAACTTTCAAACACTAAATCCAATATTTTAATAGTATACGATACATTTCTAACCCAAAATTTTACTAATAGTTTACTGTCATCTGATTACTATTATTAGTCGTTTGTTGCATACTTTTTGTAAAACCATATATCAATGATCACGAAGATGTAAATTTAATTGAAACTGATACTCTATATTTCAGAAGGCTAGCTTAAGTTGCTTAATTCATAAAGATGCTACAAACATTCACATATTAAATTAGGCAGCAAAGGGTAAAATTAAATTAGAAGTAATAACTCACCTCCCATCCTGGTTCAGGGCTAAGGGTTGGTGCCTCCATGGAACTCGCCTTGCCCTTTACATAATTTATCTCAATGTTAGAGAAAGTATTACCAAGAATGAATAACAAGCAACAAGAATTGCCATGTCAATATATTTCTAAAAAAGCAAAAAATAATCAAAAAAGAGCTGCCATGTCTCAACTTCTTTGTCTTTTTTCAAAATAATAAAAAAAAAAAAAAAGAAAGGATGGGTAATTCCTACTTGCATAAAGATACTTCCATTCTTGACAAGAGGATGATCATGTAAATCAGTGCCTGGTGGGAGTATCAGCAAGTCAGGGAGTAAATCATCCTTTTGAACCTATATCACACCACACCCCAAAGTAATAATCCTTAGATCAAGGAAGGAAGTACACTTTGTGACTTTTTTATGAATCCAATTATATAATTTCCATCAAGAAAAAGGAACAACAAAGGATCTTGAAGATCAGAAATATTTAAAAAATAAAATAAAATACCGAGTAATTTTCCTGAAGTTCAACTAAGGCAGTATCAACATCCAGTTTAAGTGTATTCACACGAACATAACGAGGTACAAAAACATCTGCATAAGAAAATTTTGAACAACTTCAAAGTTATAATCACAGTAGAGCAGTAAGCCAGCAACTCTCGTGAATAAAGAATAAAGAGTAGGTTTTGGTTTTGTATTCGGCCCCCATCTTAAGTCTCTGAAGGCGCATGTATTCGGTCTCCTTTTTTTCTAAATATTTAAGCAAGTTGCTCTGCTATTCCTCAGAGACTTCAGCGTCAGCCAACTTTTTTTCTAGCATATTACGTCTGCAAAGAATAATTAACTTAGGCCTTATTAAAGACTTAAAACTATTTCGATTTGCAGAAAATATTTGCACATAATATATAACACCACATCAGAGACAATAAACGACATGATGACAAGAATGCCATACAAATACAATACTATATTGCAGAATCAAGTGTTGAAGAATTCTTGTTAGGAAACAAAAAGCAAGGACAATATGGAAATCTCTTATTTTGATCTGCTCAGAGATTACAATAACTGTGTCAAAACAACTACTTCATATGGTATAGAACTCTACAGTTGGACAGCCATCATGACCGAAAATATATAAATTCAAGTAAAGATACCTTTCCTTCCTCTCTTGCAGGCTCTGCTTCTGCTTCTTATAATGATTTTCTAAATACTGCTTTGCAGCTTCAACCTTCTGTTTGGTTACATTTGAAGTTGCTTCCACATTTCCAAATATAAGACATTACCAGAGACAGATAGGTGGCATCGCTGGCGATCTATGAGAGTGAGTAAAGAGACAAAAGATATAAAAACAGAAATAAAAGAAAAAAGAAAAAATGCAGAAATTTTAGGGTTCACAAATTCAAGTGATTGGGAATGGAGAATGGGAAACCAAAGAAGAGAATAAAAATGTTGAATAGGAAACGAACCTGTTGATGGAGAACGACAGAGAAACAGTAGCAACAGAGAAGAAAACAACGAGAAAAGAAATTGGCGAGCGGCTAAAGTGTTCAATGTTTTTGCTGAAAAGGTAACTGAAAGGTTATTATGTAGCGGGGAAAGTTAAAAGGCAACTGAAAAAATATTGTGTAGCGGTGAAATGAAAAGGTAGAGGGGGAAAGCGAAAAAGTTAGGAGCGGGTAAATCAAATTATTTATGTTTCCTCTAATTTTTTTAATATAATTATGATATAATCCAATAAAATTTTAATAAAATTAAATATTAAAGATTAAATTACTAAATATTTAAAGTTATTTATTTTGATATTATTTTAAAAATCAATCTTAATCTTTTTGTTTATCTATAAAATATATTTAAAGTTAAAAAAATTAACATTATATATTATAAATATAATTTTTGTTCAATTATTATAATATTTCGTTTGTATTACTATGCAGATTTTAAAAAATTTATATAAAGGCGAAGGTTATAAAGACGAATAATACTATTATTTATAGTATGAATTGCGAAGGTTATAAAGGCAAAAAATTAAATTGATTTTTTTTTGAATTCAGATAAATTAATGAGTATTAGCTAGATAAATTATTTATTTAAATTTATTTTTTATAATATAACGATATCATATAAAAAAATTTGATTTAATTTTTTTTTCATGATAAACATATAGTCAACCATAACATTCAAATGAAAATGGCTATTTAATTAATCTACCAAACAAAATTAGTGTACCAATAACCAGCACAAGTAATGTATAAATTACCGATCATAATTAGCGTATCAATGAGATTAACTTTTAATTGTACCAATCACAATTAATGTATCAATCACGAATCACTTCGGAGGGCCATCACTTTTGATAGTAAATATCGATAATCAGATATTTTTTATTTTATTTCACATAACTTTTCAAAATCTATTCAATAACACCTCATTTGGCATATTTTATCTCTCACAAACATCATTCGAATTTGTTACAATGGTAACACAAATAATTAATGTACCAATCACAATTAATTTTGATTGGTAGATTAATTTGTGATTGGTGATTGGTACATTAATTGTGATTGATACATTAATTAAATAGTCATTTTTTATTGTGACTGTTATACTTATTAATTCTGATCGGGTACTGAGATGTGCCACGTAGCGCACCAAGTTCCCTATATATAATCATTAACTGAGGTCTTTTTTTGATTGGTACAAAATTTTATTTTTGGTAAACTGGAATACAAATCTTTATTAGTTGAGAAAAAAACAAAAACATATATATATGAAAAAAATATAATATTAAAACATATATATATTCAAATAATGAATTAAATTTAGAATAACTTACAATAAATTTTTTAAAAAGTTATTTATTTTTATCGTGAATCAAAAGTGATAAATTTAAATAAATGAATTTTCTATGTATATAAATACACATGGATCTAAATCATACATTTTTATAACCACCATGGGTCTACGTGATACTTTGAAACAACAAAAGGGTTAAATGATATATTTTTGTAATCACAATTTATCTAAATGACAAGTTTAACACTATAGGGAGTCAAATGAGAAACTATATTTTTATAATTAAATTTTTTATTAATTGATAATTACTATATTTCCTATCATTTTATTTTTATCTGGTCCCGGGGTCGCTGCCCCCACACCCTCATCGGGGTGGCTACCCCGGACCCTGCCTGCTCATTGGGAAGCAAGACTCCCGTTCGCTTTCTCTACGCCCTACCAAAAACAATCATCGTCTGATTATGAAGTATGAGCCAAAAACGACATACATACCCATATTGCACCCACGAGTACATACACACACTCACCCACACACACACGCACCCAAACGCGAATGCGCATACGCCCACTAAATCCAACATTCGCGCACACCCACCTATACACACACAAGCATATGCACACCTACACCCACACACACACATGGGCAATGCACACCCACACTTACAACACAATTGTAGTAATGAACATTATTTTGGAGTATGATTGCATAAGTCATGGATGCATATATATATAACCCTAAACAAATTTTTATTAGTTGAAAAAATAAATAAATAAAAACTTATATATATATATATATTCTATCATTTTTAATATACTTGTTATTGTGTTCTAACTGATCACGACCTCCTTCTTGCCACTATACATGTGTAGTTATCCATGATCAATATTTACTACTCCTTATTCTACATTTTGCTCAGGGCAATTAAGTTTTTAGCATTATAATTGCCCCGACCATATATTAAATAGGGAAATTACTATAGAAATTGTACAACCAATATTTAATTTCAGTGCTTTATGTCCAAATTATAGCAAGGAGATTTTTTTTTGGGGGGGGGAGACTCAACAAAATTAGGGTTTGGTGTTTCTCATACTGTCCCAGATAAAATTATCTACTACGCATACAAAAGTATATGGGGTTGATCATGTGAAAAGAAAAAAGAAAATGAAAAGATGGGCCCAACACAATTTTATATGTGCATAGGAGATAAATTCAACATGAGAGACATTAAAGCCACAAAATTATGGTTGAACCAATGTTATGAAGACTAGACCCATCATTGACTCAGTTGAAAAGGTTGATTTAAATTTATAAAAAAGTATGTAATAAATATATTAATAATAGTAATAAAATATTACAATAAATTCAATGGCATAGTGGTTGTTGTCATTGAATTCCTCCTGTATGCTGTGTTCAAATCTTTCTAAGTGTCGTTGTTCATAATAAACATCTACCATCATGGAATTTATACTTTACGACGGTTAGTAACCGCCTTTAATTTCCAACTCTGCGTCGGTTTATAACTGTCGTTATTCGGAGTCGATTTTAACCGTCGTTGAATAGTTGTATTCTGCGTCGTTTTATAACCGCCTCTGAAATCTTATACTGAGTCGGTTCTAACCGTCGTTGAATAGTGATATTCTGCGTCGGTTTATAACCGCCTCTGAAAGCCGACGTAGAATTGTGATATTCAATTACGGTTCAGTAGGACGTCGTAGTAACCGTCGTTGTTAGTTATTCAACAACGGTTGGCCCCTGACCGACGCGAATCATCAGTCGCAAAACACTCATTTTCTTGTAGTGTTAATCACGCTTTCTAACAATTCATTATATTATTATACAATCAAAAGAGAGAAAAGAACTTTTCAATTTCCTTCTCCACGTGCAATTCACATTCCAACCGAACGTTGTAACATCCCAAGAGCTGGCAAGGGCAGGGAGTGATCGCCGGTGCGAAAGGGCACGGACAATGAGCGGCTCATGCCAAATCTTGCAGCTTTGGGGGTTCATGAATGAATCGAATCAACACCCGAAAGAGAGGGATTCCAGAGACTGTGCTGGCATGGGACAGTACAGTTAGGAATGACTTATAAGAATTAATTGGTACTACCTATACTAACAAGATGCATCTACTTTTTGGTATCCCGGATCGGAAGAACTCCACAGTTAAGCATGTTTGACTTGGAGCAATTCTGGGATAGGTGACCTCCTGGGAAGTTTTCCCGAGAAATGTGCGAGTGAGGACAAAACACACTGAAAAGTCTCGTGTTAGTGTGTGGGGACAGTCATTGATTCTTGCAAGTTGTCAGGCGTTACAAGTGGTATCAGAGCAGTGCCTCTCTTCCAGTACGGTGTGGTTCGAGGACGAACCAGGCGGAAGCTGGTGGGCATGTAACATCCCAAGAGCTGGCAAGGGCAAGGAGTGATTGTCGGTGCGAAAGGGCACGGACAATGATTGGCTCATGCCAAATCTTGCAGCTTTGGGGGTTCATGAATGAATCGAATCAACACCCGAAAGAGAGGGATTCCAGAGACTGTGCTGATATGGGACGGTACAGTTAGGAATGACTTATAAGAATTAATTGGTACTACCTATACTAACAAGATGCATCTACTTTTCGGTATCCCGGATCGGAAGAACTCCACAGTGAAGCGTGCTTGACTTGGAGCAATTCTGGGATAGGTGACCTCCTGGGAAGTTTTCCCGGGAAGTGTGCGAGTGAGGACAAAACATACTGAAAAGTCTCGTGTTAGTGTGTGGGGACAGTCGTTGATCCTTGTAAGTTGTCAGGCGTTACAAACGTGATATTCTTTCAATTCTCGAATCCCCAACAAGAAATATTAAATAAATAAAATTCGTACCATAACCCCATTGTCCAAGCATATAATTCTTCATCATCAGTATGAAATGTCTCAACTATCCCTTCCCCAGAAACCTCAACACCAAAAGTTTTGATAGTGTTCTACAACGACTCAAAATAATAATTTGACATTCAAATAGTTTTGTTTGCCATTTTTCCTATTGCAATATCATATGGGTAATTTTAAAAACTTATCATATGTTTTTTTTTAAAAGAAGAAGCGAAATCATGTCCATCTATCATCAAAAGCAAACCGAAAAAGTGAAATTGAAAGTTTCGTCAATGTTCGAAATTACGAGGAAGTCGTGGTCGATGGGAGGAGGGGAGAGTTCGAAAGGTAAGGCCTGAGCAGAAATGAACAAAGAGGTTATCTTCTTCTTCATCATCATTTGCTATAACTTTTCTCTCTCTTGGCTGTATGATATAATAAACTGTCACAAAGCGTGATTATGTGTCCTCCCAACTTCTTTTCTCCCTCCAAATAGTAGTTGTTGCACCCCTTAGCGATTTTGTAAGGACGTGACACATGTCCTATAACAACCTTCACTATCAAAATAGTGACAGTTAATTAATTAAGTGTTTAAGTGAATTAAACACGTATTTAAGGAAATGGTGTGCGATAAATCATGTGATT